CAAATGATAAACATGAAGCTGATGGATTAAGAAGAAGAAGGTATATAGTAAATGATTCTATTTATAAGTTTTATTTAATTATTGAAAAAATAAACAAAATTAGTCTAAACGTTAAACATCCTTACATGAAGAACTGTCCTCTTCTCTCTTCTTCTCCTTCATCTCAATCAACCAAAATTATAACTTTTCTTTCTATTTTTTTTCGTTCTTCTTCTTCCTCTTCTTTTTTATATAATATGATGAAGAAAATATAAATGTCATAAGAAAAATCTGATATTTCTATGTTTCATCCATTTCTCTTCTCATTCTCTTTCTCTGTTTCTTTGAGATGTTTTGCTTTTTAAAAGAATTGGTATGAATGATGATTAACCTTCACATCAGAAAATTATTTTTTTTTCTTATAAGTTAAGATATTTGAAATTGAATACAGCCTCATGGAATGCATTTCCTTCCCTTCTTCATCTTTTTTTTTAAACTTTCTTCACACCTCCGTACCTACATGCATACGTATTTCTCTCTCTCTCACTTCTTATCTTTTTATTCTTCCTCTTGTCTCTCTTTCTATTTGTTGTTATTCTAAGTATTTCCTTTTTCAATAAATCAAGTTGTTCTTCCTCAACCGCTAACTCTTCAACTCATTGCAAAAACCATTGGTTGATTTCATAACAATACGTGTTCGGCCACCTCTTCATCAGAATTCATCTCATTCAACCCTCTTCATCTTCGTTCCTCTTTACCGAACACATTTAAACAATTCATTTACAATCAGAAGAAAGAAAAAAAAAGAGTTGAAAGCTTTCATCCAATAATATTTATTTAATAAAAAGAGAAATTGATGATGAAGACAATCGTCCTTTTTCTTACCTTTTGATCCAGTCATCATCTGTCTCCCTCTATAGTTCATTTTCATTCCCTAATAAACTTATTTTTTTCACATTACTTTAATTATTATTATTGTAAACTTACTCTTATTTCTCCAATAGCATATCATTCATTAGAAGATTATTGCACTTCTTATTCTTCTGATACGATCCTTATACGTTTCACGTGAATTTGGAACATAAACTTTTACGTTAGAACGGTAAGAACTGTTTTCATTTATCCATCTGTTATAGCAGAGAACGGTTGTTGCATTCTCCTTTCTTTCTCCTCCTCCACCTCCTTCTTCCTTCCACAAATGTTTTTACTTTGATTTTTACTATCTTTACTTAAGAGAGACATAAAAAAAGTTGATTTTTGCCATCTAAATTGTCATTTTCACAATTCTCCTCACACGAAAGATGTAAGATCGCAATCGGATGGCAAAAAAGGAAACTTTCGCTTTTCGTAGGCATTATAGAGGAATAGAGAGACAAAGAAACAGAGAGAGAGAGAGAGAGAGAGAGAGAAATGAAGAGTTCATAAGAAACATCCTACCATCATGATGATCATCATACAGTCAGATACTTGCATAAAGCAAACTTACATGCTGTATAATCTATTTTCACATATATAAAAATACATAATAAGGTAAAAATATAGAATAATGCTGGAAATTTATATGGAAATATTATTTACATCAATATTTGTACATTCTGATAGTTTTTTATAGGTTATCTCATGTGTGTCTCATTGTTGTCTCTATGTAAGTTAGTTGTTGTAGTTGTGGTTGGTTGGTTGATGGTTAATAGTGTTCAATGGAATTGATGACATTGATAAACCATATAAGGCAATCCATTAACTGATTATCCAATTCATCCATTTTATGATATTGTATCGTTTATGTATATGAAAAGTTAAAAGAATATAACATACACATACATCATGTACACCTTGACACATTCATTTTGTCTGAATAATTCTTCGAACTGTCATCGTTTTCCGCACATATTAAGCTTCTCTTGCAGATGATACATGAAGCTCTCGATGCATTTATTCAAAAAAATCATGAAAAAATTATTTTTCTTGATTTTTAACATACAATAGTCGTTTTCATTCTTCTCATAACTCTTTTTTTATCTTTCTTTGTCACCCTTTCTCTCTCACTCTCTCTCTCTCTCTCTTTTTCTCTCAATCAAATGAGCTCTTCATGTCTTTTTTCACTTTTCTTATTAAGTGAAGAATTTTGCTTTTTTCCCATCGTGAACAGTTTAATTGCTGATTCTTTTCTCCCAAAACTCCTATTGCAAATAATATTTCAACAATGGCATAGTCATTGATGCATGTTTGACCTGAAGCAAAAATGTCTCTCAGCAAATATCTTTCAATCAGATCAGCTTATAACAACAATCACAATTATTGAAGCTTTCACGTTTTGGAGCAGTTTTCTTTTTTTTTCATTTTCTATATTAAAAGAACAAAATCTTCAAAGTCTTACCTTCTTAACTCTCTTCTTGTTTTTCGCCACATACTCGGAGCTGAAAGAGATGTTTATCAATTAATCAATTGATCAATCAGTCGATAAAACACAGAAAACATGAATATCCTCAAGTGGGGTGGGTACATGAGAGTTCATCTTTTCACTTCTGATTTACATCGAAAGTCATTCTATCGATACTAATTTACCTGAAAAGTCGTCTATTAGGCAATCATTATTTGATCTTTTGCGACTATCGTTCGCATGCCTGTTTCGCCTTCGACTCATTTCTTCTCTCCTTTTATGGCCTTTTCTCCAAAAAAAGAAATTCTTTGAAATTTCTCAAAAAAAAAAGATTTTTTCATTGATTCTCATCGACTATCGGAATATTCCTGATCTTTGCTTTAACAAAAACATAAAAAAAAAGCAGTTTAACATGATGTTTCGTATCTTCATAGTCAATCATATTCTGAATGAGAAATGCTTCAAGACTGTGCAATTCGTATTCTAATCGTGTCACCCTCATAACTGGAATATTATTTTTAAAAGATTATTCTGTTACTGAACTCTTGAATTTTGCAGAGCATATGAATGAAATATGACGGTGTCCTATAATCTGGATGTTTCATCCGTTTCGGCTTTTTCATTTCTGCGTCTTCTATTCAGATGGAGAGGGTCTATTTGGAAGTCCGTCTATTCTGAATATTTCTTATGGCTAATTATGTATTACTCAGTATTCTTTATGTACAGATTTGGTTTCAATGAAACTCAACAACTGTAAGTATTGATGTGACGGCAAACATCTTCATCTTCTCTTAAGCACTTTTGGAAAAATTGCCATCTACTGTGATACTAAACTAGATTACATTCCTCTCACCTTTATTCTTGGATTTTTTGTTACAATTGTAGTGGAAAGGTGGAGACAAGTTTTTAATAATATGGGATGGATTGAGAAGTTCTTATCATCTGAGCTTTGAATTTATCTGAACTCTTTTTCAGTGTAGCTCTCACTGTTTCAGCTCTATTCGACAGCAACTCAGAGGATGACACCTTGAAGAGGCGTAGTGTCGTTAGATATTGTGTTTTAAGCCAAGTAAATATTATACTGCTTAAATGTTTCATAAATTACTCTCAGGTTTTAACATTCCGTGATATTTCAATGAGAGTTCGAAGGAGGTTTCCTAACATGGAGTCACTAGTCAAAGGAGGTATCAACATACTGTGTTTCATTTAATCACATTGAACAGGCTTCATTCATGAGCACGAACTAAAATCATTAGAAAATGTTGATCTTGATTATAATAAGTATTGGGTTCCTTTGAATTGGGCAATGTCCGTATGTGTCAAAGGACATAAAGAAGGTAGAATAGTTGCTCCACCATCTCTCAACAATGTGATTAACGTAAGTGGAATAATCAGAGCTCTCTCAAACTGAAACACTTCACAGGAAATTCGAGCATTCCGCACCAACTTAGCATTGCTTTGTAATTTCGATTGGGTGCCAATACCTATTGCTTATCCACAGGTATTTCTTATCAAGGCGTATAATTCTAACTTATTCGAAAAGGTTGTTTTCCTTGCCGTACGAGTTCATTTCCTTATTTGCTGTGTATCAAGGCAGTACATATTGACAGGGGACAACGTTAAGAGTATTGTATGTTCCTGAAACTGCTGAAACAATGAATCTATGCACTTTCAGATTGATTTATATTTCCCTTTTATGACCTCTCTGCAATTCATATTTTTCGTTGGGTGGATGAAAGTAAGATAACTTGATTTGATCAAAATCGCATGAACTGTTTTGAGGTCGCAGAAGCATTGTTGAACCCACTCGGAGAAGATGACGATGATTATGAATGTAATTTCCTGATTGATAAGAACATTGCTGTAACAGAGAAATATTGAAGAGTAATATTAAAAAATACACCTTATAGACTGGATTAGCCATTGTGGATAGCGCAAACAGCGGTCATCCCGAACTATTACCGGACAAGTTCCTCAACAAAACTTTTGTTCCAGTTTATTCTGAAGACTCAACAAGAAATGGGTTGGACTCTGCACTATTTGGATCTGCACAACTGGTCACGTAAGAAACATAATCCGGAAACCCGTTGCTCAAAAAAGATTTCAGGTTAGCTGAACCTGCGGAAGAAGTCAAAATGGTTTCTGTTGATCCAAAGATATCAATGCCTGATCTGTTCGGTACTAAGGAGAACATCACGCTCAAATAATGAATAATTTTTGTTTAGCTGACGAGTTCAATTCTTCTAGACGTAGTACTATGAGCAGGATACGTCGAAGGTCAAGTCAACCATTCTTCAGCGGACGATTCAAATTCGGAAAACGGGGGTTACTGGGGTTTTCTTTCTCAATGTTTACAGGCTAATAAGCATGATGTTATGTGTTTTGCCCTTCCAAAAATCCTGTTCGAAGACAGTAACGTTTGAGAGTAATGAAGTGGTAAAAACTTCCTATTTTGCATATTAAATCATTAATTTCGCTTTTCACAAACTACATGTCCCTGTCATGTTTGCATAACACTACAAGCCTCTAACATTTGGGTTCTTTTGAAGGTGATGGTATCATCATTGTCACTGTTGTCCACGATATACATGATCCCTGTTAGCACTATATATCTCTCATTACTCTTTCTATACTGAACTTCCTATTTCAGAACTCAGCCAAAGATAAGTCCGATGGTTGAGTTAGGAGTCAGCCTTCCACCAAATTTTACTTTGCACAGTGATCGGCCGAACCCTGCCAATCTCTACAGCAAGAAGAGAGAAAGCAACGGAATGAACTCTCCAGGTACACTAAGGACATGCTTAATTTCAATGACACTCTGAGCTCTATTCAGTTGATTTCAACTCAACCCATGTTCTTGGAAAAGTAGATGAGGAAGATTTATCTAACTCGAAATCATCCAAATCATTTAAATCAAGTTCAGACGACGAGGATGATGAGGTACGGTACAATTTCTCGGATTTTATTTATAATGTTCATGTTTAGGTTCATGAGGTTATCAAAAATGAACTCAATCCTCCAAAGTATTGATTAGAAGAGCTTATAATTAAGCTATGAGAAGATGAAACAGTATGTTCTTAGCTTATGATAGTCAGTTCAAAAATATCACTTCATACACTCATCACTGATACGGACGCAACATATCCTTTTGAATATTATAACTATTTCAATAAAGCTATATAGAAAACGTATTTGACGAAAATATGTTTATCAATTAACATGATCGTTAGGGCCAGAAATGATATCATGAGCATCTTCGTTCTTCTTGTAATCTCTGAGCACGACCGATTAACTCCTACAGTTGAAGCTCAAATGAAGTTAGGCTCAGTTTCATTCTCCATGTACCCATGGAGTGAGCGGTTGTCTGAGCACGATCGTGTCAATTTCATGTGAACCATAAATGAATTAACACGCATCTTCTTTCGTGAAAAAAAAAGAAGAAAAAAAACATAATTATCCCACGTGATAAACTGATTAGAAACAGCAAGCACTTGTTGATTTGTATAAGATGAGAAACAAATTGAAAAAAAAGTTTCATGGCGCAGGAATAATCAATCTGCATGACAAAAAAGACATTATAAAACTAAATATATTTACGAAAAAATCATTTGATATCACCGAAGACCTGATTATAAGAGGATGATGATGATTAGATGATATGAGAATAATCACATAATAATAATTATTCTTTCTTTTTTCAATTTTTTAACTACAAACAGGCAAAATAGAAGAATAAAAATGAAAGAAGATGAAGAAGTACTCAAAAATAAACTAATTGAAGATTATAGTTCTATGTTTGACTATGTTTCATTAGGGATATCAAATCATTTGAACATGGAAATATGAACATCACAAACAATACAAAAATAATACAATACTGGGAATCTATTACAGATCAGGACAAAAACAATTTCTCAGCTGGCAATTATTATTAATTTCTTTTAGTTAAAATTATACATTAACAAAAAAACAGCTAATCGATTCAATAGCACATCAATTTGGAAGATCTAGAGCAATGCTCAGATAATCATATATAATCTTATTTCTTTCAATATACCCGATTTTACATGGAAAATTCCCTATATTTGGGAGGAATGTGATAGTACAATATGACATCTAGTCAGGGTAAGCTATAAATTATGAACTTATTAATAGAAGTTTGATCTTAATACAACTGCGGACGATCTTCTCTATCTGTCTCGAATAAAGATTTCAACATTAGGAAAGTATGCAGCTGATCTGGAGACACGCTAGCCAAACGTGGATCGTATTCCGTACGAGGAGCTGTCGCTGGCACCGACAGTATTCGACGTGCAAGAGAAGACAACGAAGGAAATTGGTTTCTGCCAGCATTGCTCCAAAAGAACACGAGGTCTCTGGAAATATTTGAAATTACGCAATCACTTAATATGAATGACATACTTTGTTTGATGCGTTGGAAACTGTGAACGAAGATAGCACTCAAGTTCATCTTCAGACACAGGATCGTCTTCTAGAGCATTGAGGAACATTCTTCTTTTGCGGAACGGTTCTCCATCTGTTGAAGAGCCGCGACTTAACGGCTCTTTTGGTGATCTTATCCCGCAAAGTGCACGTATCCGGTCACACGTATGTTGTCTGTTTGAAAAACATTAGAAAATTAGAACAGTATTAATGCATACCTTTCCATTTCTGTGCAAAGGCTGTTCTGTCGTCGATTCAACCTGGGGTTCAGTATGGCAGCAATTCTGTGTTCCACAGTTATAACATTGTCTTTCTCACGACCGAGAAGCTCAAAGGCTTTCTGAGGATTACTTTGGATAAAATTATCTAATAATGACGAACCTGTTTGAGCTCTTTAAGAAAAGGTGTGAAATCTTCTTCTGTTGCTTGGCTTTCATGCATGAGTGCGTACCATTCAGGTAGAACTTTGTGAAAGTTTGGTTTCTCGTCGGTTAGTGACTCTATGGTTTCTTTGAATGGATCCAAGAAAATTTCAATATCTCGTAAATGTTGACCATCAATCTGGCTGAATGCTGGCAGTAAACCTAAAGAAGCGCATCATTAATGCAGAAACAAGACTATAAGTAATACTTGGAGCTTTGGACCGAATAATTTCTTCTAACGTGCTCAAATGGTCATTCCAATCCGTTAACATTCTATGCAAATTGAAAATATCGTCTTCACAAGGCTTATGTTCAAAGGGTAATCGGATCTAAAAATTATCAACATCCTAGTCAAGTCTAGGAGAAAGATTCATACCTCAGCCTCTAGCAGTTTTTTCAGTATTGTATCCAAAGTAGTGACCATTGGTAAGATTGGTACCGAACTAGTGGTCAAAATTGCTAATAAAATCTGTGAAACAAATGCATTATGATGTTTTCTAACCAGTTTCATCTTACTTCTCTTAATTTTTCTTTAATATCTAAAAACGTTCTCAATGGTGCGAATTCCTCGCAATTCCTCGAGCATGTCACACGTAACAAACTGCGATCAAGTTCATAGTTATGAATAACTAGGTTTATAATTTCTCCAAGTGATTGATTTTCTCGAGCTTTGAAAACTCTGTAATATTAAAAATGCAAAATAACCTCGTATATGGAAACACTCACCCCAAAACGTTACTACGCCACTTCCAGTCATGACTTATTCGAGATCCATGAACGACTTTGAAAACCTACAAAATCAACATTATTAGAATGGCATCATTTGATAAAGTATTTTTCAAAGGAAAAAAAATGGAACAAGGTTCCACTTACCCGTCCAGCGTACGATAGAGACTCGAGGGCTAAGCAGACTCCTTGGGATGTTCGGGACAACTCATTTTTGAGATCGTCAGTACAGAACCTGAGGGTTGACTGTAAGCTCTAAAAAAACAATGGAGTTTTTTGTTTTACAACTTCAACGTACACTACTAATCATTTCTGAATCCGGGTATACTTCACTGGGTAAAATTCCAGGTCGTTTTGCCATATACCATATTCTTTCAAAAAGAGCTTTGAAACCTCGTCCCTGAAATGATTTCATGTGCACAGTTTCTTAACATACTACAAACAGACTTCATATATTATTGAGTAAAAAATATTTGCAAAATGTTCAAACAACTCTAACAACCTACATTGAATATTGCAGGATCCAAGAGATCTTGAGCACAGCACCGAACAATAGCGTCTGTTAATGCTTCTCGATCCATATCACCAATTGAAACTTCTCCAGAGTTCTGTGATACTAGTTGCGTTCCACCTGAGCTGTCTTCTGACTATAAAACTTATGAATCAAGTAAATTAAATAGAAATAGCTTACGTTTATGGTCAACGATAGAGTTGGTTTGTGATCCATTTGTCTATTACTTACAGATATGTTTGACTCGAAAGAGGACTGCTGGAGAGGTTCGTTAGTTTCAGTTGAAGATCTAAGAGAAGAGATATTAGATAAGTTAAATCAAAAATCATTAGTAAAATAGCAAATAAATGAATATTTAGATATTAGAATATTTCCGAAGGTAGCCTAAGTGAACAGCTTACCCGTGTGCACTAGAACGGTAACTGACGCCGATGGGGCAACGATGCCGAGTCATGTTACCCGTACCACCTCCGGTATCGGTATACAGAACCTGCAATTCGCAAATGATTCTTTAAAAATGTTTGAATCAAGTCAAATCAAATGTCTATTAGGCTAATTTCAAATTGAATTGCTTAAACGTTGAGCTGAATTCGGCAAATTTCTTTTACTAAGCCATCAGCGAGTTGAATCTGCGTAGCACGCCTCATGCGGAAGGGATAGAAAAGATGAGAAGAGACGGAAGAGAAAGAACGTGAGAAACATCACGTACATGAAGAGGTTTCAGAAAAAAAAGTTTCAGGTGAAGTACAAAGTGTATTGGGTTGAAGTAGGCGGGCAGATCGTGCAAAAACGATTCGATCTACTTCCGATTTAACGGAAAATGCTTGTTATAAACGATGAGTGATGTCGTAAATTGACTGAACACGATAGATGTCGGCTTTCATTAAACGTTGTCCTTTTGACTTTCTCCAAACAACACGAATGGTCTCACTAAGATTGGATTTAAGAAGAAAAACTTACTTTACATGCGTAGCAGGCCACGAAAGGTAAACGAACATTATTCACTGTATCTAGTACCTGCAAGTACACTGGTTAGTTAACTTTCTTTTCAAAAATGTTTCTCTTTTAATTTAAATATCAATTTTATCCTTTTGAAATAGTTTAAAGAGTCTACCTGTCCAAATAGATTCCACACTTCTGACCTTCCGCGTTTGCGAACAAGCCGGAAACGACCCTGTCCACTCCGAATATCGTCTTGTATGATAGCTTTGGGTGGCATCTGAAACCGTTTGTCTTTTAATATTCGTAGCTGTTGAACTATAATATATAATGGGTTTCATTATGAGCCAATAGCAAAACTTTCTTTCTATTTTGGCTCTTACTAAGTTAATTGAATTGAGAGATTCCTTTTCATCTTTCCTTTTTCGAAGAGAAAATAGAAAAAAATATTTTCTGTATGACCTTCAAGTCAATCCGTAAATTCCAGATCATGCCTTTCGATCAGAATGATGATGATAGTTGAAATTTGATTTCATCTCTATCAGAATCTGTTCGATCGCATCACATGGGATTCAAAATTGACCAAAGTTCTAAACGTGAGTTGATTGTGTGTTGTTTTTCTGTATGAAGCAGATGAAAACTAAACTTATACTTCAATAGTTTTCGAGATAATCAAAACAACTGGTTTTCTCTTATCAACACATTTCGTTCAAGACGTTAGGTCAAACTAGAAACGAATCACATTTCTATTTTCACATTCATCAGTAATCATTGTGAATGTCTCATCTCACTCACATGCATATTCTTTTCAAAAAGTTCACGTTCATAGTAACGTGCAAGAAAGTGCATGTGTACGTTTCGGAATATTCAGTGAATGAGGAAAAAGAAAAAAAAAGTAATTTATAGAAGAAAGATCGAGATTGTTTTCCTTGCGAAAGGAAACAATAAGGTAGAGTGATGCTTTCAAAGATGAGTATGTGAAATTCCATACTTTTATTTGAAAAATATTCTCATTTGATCATCGCATAAAAATGTGTGTGAAGATAAAAGAATCTTGTGATATGAACTCACAGAGTTATAAGTACATTCTCAACTATGAAAGCATTCAAATATGTTTTTGTTATATTGTCTTTTCATATAAAATAGTATTAAGAGGTAGTAGGTGAGAAGAGAAAATGTAGTCAACAGCATCAATAAGATAAGCCTGAAGCTTGAAATTCAAAAAAAAAACTGTCAGTTATGATAAAATCTTGAGAAATGAAATGTATATGCAAAATAACCAAAAATCAGTCAGCAGACATGAGAGAGATAATTGAAATAATGAATAATGAAAACTTTGTAAATATATGAAATTGAAATGAAATACTTACATCTTGAGTAGCGGGTGGAGCAGGTAAGTCAATGGATGTTGTTGGTAAAGAATCCAATGAATTTGAACATTCCATTTTATTTGTTTGATTCTTTATAAGAAGAAATTCACGTCATCATCATATATAGACATCTATAATTCTCTTACTTGATTAAAGTTGATGAGATTCTTATTCTGTTCAGGAGTATCCATGTTTATTCCAATACTAGCAGCCATTGCTAAATGATTGATTAGAGCACTATTCAATCCAAGCGACAGGTAATCATGACCAGATTTCGGTGATTCAGCTGCAACAAAGAAAATTTTATTTGGAAATCAGTACACGTTTGATGTATTTCAATATTGTTTTTCAAAAGGCAGCATCAAAATAGTTTTCCTTTTTTGAAAACGAATGTAGGACTAAAACATATATTCTAAAGTAAAGCAACCATTTCTGCGAGTTAGCTGTGTGCGTTAGTTGAAAACTGTTTTAACGGGGGAGGAGAGCTTGGTGTGAGAGAAAAAAAAACTGTGGAAAGCTATTAATTTAATAGCCGATTATGGCACAATTATTTAATTATCTTATAAGACTAAGCTATTTTGTATTCTGAAAGCTAGAATTACCAAAATATGAATCCAAAGAAGAAGATGAAAGCTCACATCCAAATGCTCGATCCACAGGTGATTTGCGCGGAAAATCCGGACTCGGAACTGTCAGAAGATTATTATCTGGCGTATTATTACGTTCAGTAGATTGATTGAGTGGAGAAGCTGGCGAATGTATCAGAAGACGTGGTACATCAACAGGTGAAAACGCAGAGATGCGATTTGTTGCTCCGTCAAAAGCAGATCCAGGACGAAAGTTAGCTGAAGTAGAAAAATGCATGCAATTACTAGAAACGCTCTAATATGTCCTCCTGAACAGTTGAAAAGTTGAAGACTGTTATATATTAGCCAATATATGTATTGAGATGATGAAGAAACAAAACATAGAATTAGTTTTGCTAATTATTCATTTTTTTAGTGATGAAGCGGCGTGATACCTTTGTAGTTTGATTAGTGGATGACTGAGATATGTACGTATAATTATTCAAAAAGTCTTTTACTATGAATTGCTTTCATAGAACAAGAGAGACAGAGATGAGGTGAGGACAATAAAAAAAAAGATAAAAATGAAAAGCGTTTGAGCGTTAATAAGTTAGTCAGATAAATGCAAATCTCTTTTTTGTCTACTTAGTGATAAGCTGAACGATTAACAAATCAGAAACATAAAGAGAGTTTTGAAATTATAAGATGTTTCAGATAAGGACACATGTCTTACATGAACATGACATCAACAAAAAGCATATAAATCTCATTATCATGAATGGATTTGAAGATGAAGAACATCTCACATCATTTCAACATTCAGAACATCAGCTTCTCTCTCTCTCTTTCTTATTACGAAATGCCATCCCTATTCTTATACTTGTTCTTTCCAAAAAAAAGATACGAATGATCTAATCAGCTCAATGAGAAAATAACATCAAAAATCACTTTTTTTTCTGTTTCTAAGCGTTTTCAATAGTTCACTTAGAACTTTGAGTCTAAAATCAGATGTGTAACTGATAATATTGATTCTGAATCATCTGATTCCTTTTTCAGGACATTTTTATCTTTCAATTCAATTCATGTTCTTTATAATAGAGATATTAGAAAAATGTAAATACAATTGAAATGAGAATGTCTTATAGATTACGACGAAGGACAAGCTCAGCAAGAGCACAATGAAAAAAAATTGAAGAAGACGAGTAAAAATTTAAGAATATATTAATTATAATTACCTGTATTAAATTTAATAGAACTAGTTTGTATTTGAGATACGTCAAACGATGATGCTCGCTTATGTTCTAACGATGGGTCATCATCCGAAACAGCTGCCGATTTCTGAATGAAAATGAATGAAATTCAAATGCCAAGAAGCTGGAAACTAGTTCGTGGGTTCACATATTAATTTACAAAATAAAACAAACATCATTCGTCTGAAAACGAATTTCGAATTGAATAAATCGATTACCTTTAGGGAGGAACGACTTCGATGCCGCGCAGCTGCACGACTTACGTCTTCCGTCACCGACAGCTTGCTGCAAGTAACATGATCAAGTTAATGAAATGAGGTATGATAAGATTGAGAATGTGCAAGAGAACACATACAAAAAAAGCTTCACAGATGAGATAATGAGAAAGTGAGAAAATGTGATTAAAGAAATTCCTGAAAACCTGCAATCTTTGCGTTAAATTCAGGAAAAGCTGGATGATGAGAAACTGCAAGAAGAATTACGTGAAATGCAGCCGTTCATAATAGAGAATGCTAGACAAATGAATTGATCACACGTATAACAGTTGTACGTGAGACCACGCGAATAAGAAATTAACATAAATATCGTTGCAATTATTGTGAAGAAAAAGAGAGGGAGAGAGAGAGAGAGGGGGGAGGGAAAGAGAGAGTGAGCAAGAGAGAAAGGGAATGGAGCAAAACAGCAGGTTAATGTATATATGCTTATACACATAAATAGTCAGAATAAAAAATTATAAAACTAATTAGTTTTGTGTGTGAGACGACTACAAATACCCAAAAAAAAGTATGCGAAAAACTACATGTTGAAATATGTAAAAACAAAATTTTCAAAACAATTCGTAGGACAGTGAATGTTCTTTGGTTAGTTAGACCATCTGATGGCCCTTTGAATGTTTTAATTTTAATTCTTTCTCGTACATCTCTTCCAATTCATTATTGGACAACAATGAATCTGAAGAAATGATTTATATTCAAAATATACATATATATTCTATTCAGTATTTAATCATTTTTAAGATATGCAAAAGTTTTATTCTGTCAATATGGCTCATCAGAGATATCATATGCGAATGAATGAGAGCGATGTTCACTGATGAACATTATCAAGATGAGGTGTTTGAACAGCTTGATCGTTGGGTTCAAAATTTGCATGCAAATCTTCTTCATTATTCATTTGTTACTTAACGTTCAGCGATACGTTCTATATTTGGCGTGTGTTCGAGACGCTTTTCGTCACCCCACTTTTCTCAGCAGATAGGAGAGTTGAAGAAAATTTGATGCGTTCTCATGTACGATAACAGAGAGTGAGAGAGAAGAATATAATTGTTGAAACTCATTAAGAATATAGTGGGCATGAAGAGATACATCAATGAGAACAGAGAAGAAGAAAACACAAAAGGAACAAGGAATGGAAGAGATCTATGAAGAGGAATGAAACAGTGAACAAAATGTAAAGAGAGAAAGTTGAAAATAGAGAGAACGACAATGAGAGAGATAGTAAGAGAGGAAGAAAAAGTGAGCGAAAGAGATACATTTTTGGAATCACGTGTGACATCGGTTAGAAATTCAAAGAGGTATAAGGATTTTCATCGTCGACATTGAATTGACTGATAATTGACAGCTAAATAAAAAGTTAAAATAAAAGAGATCAATTACTTAAAGAAAAAATGGAGAGAATCAGACAGTTATAGCATGACAGTATAGAAAAGGGCAGTAAAGTGAGAGAAACAGAGAATAAGAGAAGTTGTATCTCCACTTCTCCCCTTCTTTACCTTTCCGGTTAGATAAGAGTGCCAAGCAGCTCATTCAAAACTGAAGTCATATGGGTCAGGTTTCACTTCAATGTTTAGCTTATACATCTTTCATTAATTTCTTTCGAATACTTTTGCTTCTTCAATGAATAGAAAATCATTTGAACGGACATGTTTTTGATTTATTATCATAGCATTTAACAATAACACAAAAAGAAATTTAAGAAAAAAATGAAGACAAGTAATTGCTCTTTCAGTTCAGAGAGAAAGAAGAAGAGAGAGAGAGAGAGAGAGGGAGCATATCATTTTCATTAGAACTCTCTTCATCTGTGCGAAGTAGCCATGAATGACGCTTACTACCGATAAGAGAATAATATAATTTTCACGTAAAAATAGTATAAAATATATTTTTATTACTATTCGTTAACCTGTGATTCGCTTACACTCGATATGGTCACCTTGCTTTCCATGCATGACATAGGTTTGACGTATTTAGTACAGATCTGTTCATCTGACTCTATTGTCACAGTCATTTTTCATTTTTTATTTTCACGGAAATGCATGAAATGTCGCCGGGCTTTTTTTCATTTTCATTTTCGACTCAAATGCCAACAGTGAGCGGTTGGTATTTTTTCTTATGAACTAAGAAAGTAATCAATGGCGCCACGATTCTGTTATTATAAATGAGAGCCATAACTGAATTATCAGAGTAAATGTTCCAATTATCAGAACGAAAAATAACTCTCAATTAATTTCCAAATAAAGTTGTAAAATGATAAAATGCCAGCAAAGCAGATGCAAATGAGCTTTAATTAGATAAATTGTGCTTAATTAGGTTACTGGGCAGCTTATAACTTACTTGTAAAAAAATTTTGGAAAGTACATTGAGAAACCCACAGCCTATTGATTTATCCAAAAGAAATTGGAGGAAATACAAAAAACATAAAAATATAGAAAAGAGAAAAAAAAAATAATTAAATTGAATTAAAATGAAACTTTCGAAATGGAAATATTGAAACCGTAAGTTGGAGATGAGATTGTTGCGCCGAACAAGAAGAGAGGACGAGAGACGCAAAAGAGAATTAATAATCAATAGTTAAGATCAAAAATCCATATAATATATATATTATATCTTTATGGCACGAGACGATTGTGTGAAACAGACAAATTGATTTTAAAATTATTTTTTATTTCAATTGAAACAGTTATGATAATGTAAATGAAGATGAGAAGCACATATTCTCTCGACACCCAATTAGACTGTTCTGTTCGTGTATTTGGAATGTTTTTTGGAGAATAATCAATGTTTCCTTGTTTTTTAACATACAAAATCGAATGATGAGAAGGAAAAAAAAAGAAAAAAACGGTTTTTTAGAGAAATATTTGAAGAACGGAGATATGTATGAGATGACTCATTTAGGACAGAAATATATGAGAAGAAATTGAAAGTTATGAAGCTTTTGAAGCAAACTGACAATTCCCTTATCATTAGTTTGATGGAATTGCGTATTCTGAACTCTTATGATGAGTGAAAACGAAAAGCCTCACAAAATTCGCCAAGTTCTTCTTGACCTTGATGAGGTAAATGGTTGGTAAAGTTCAAACTATCAAGACAACATCACATGTATATGGAGATTAGCAAGTTCTCTTATGTTCGTCAGAATTCAATTTCTTTCTACTACATTATGAACTTATGTGCCGTATAACGATACACAGTGCATATGCGATTCATTTTTCAGAAAAACAAGAATGCAATGCTGTAAGTTAAGAAGAAATTCAATGATGCTCCATTCTGTTCATATTTTTCAAGAAACACTCTTTTCAGCTTCAAATGGCGCTCATGGAACTTCTTCAGTAGTTTATTGTCATATGCTAAGTGTAGAATTGGAACTCTCGGAGATAAGAAAAGTGAATGAGAAATTGAAAGAAAAAATAGATGTGAATAGAGAAAGAAAATATCAAAAACGAAGAACAGATAAGGAAGAAGGAGAAAACGAAAACCATTGTTTGAGGATGACAACATTGAAAGATTGAACAGTCGGGATATAACAAGATACAGTTTAAAAATTCGCGTAAATGAAATCTAAAAACGATTTTGCGAATGATTCAGATGTTCGAAAATGAAATAATGAAATGACTTACAATTGCTGAAGGTCAAAAAAGGGTTTTTTTTTGTCAGAGAGAGAGAGAGAGAGAGAAAACAGGAGAAGAGTAAGGGGAGAATGCTTCATGATATTACTAATCAAACTGAATGCAGAAAAATGGAACGAACCGCCATAAAACAGATGAGGAAGATTGACGAGTGGTAAGATGATCAAGGAAGTATGTATACATTTATATAATTCAAAATAATAACAATAATGAATCTGGTAAAATGGCATAGAGGGATAGAGACGGTGAAAGATATAAAGAAAATGAGAAGAAGTTATTTTAAGAGAGAAAAACGAGAAAACGAAAGGAATGTCTGGGTTGATTTCAGTCATGATTTGAAAGAGGCATTAGATCCAGGTTCTTTCCTCAGAAATATTTGAGATTTATCCATAAATCAGTATAAAATCCATAGTAATGAGAGAGGGATAAGATGTGATTTTCATATTATTAAAAGAGATTTAGAGAAGACAAACATCTTGCTGTAGTTCATTCTTTCAATCAAACTATAAGTATATGAATAAGTAGATTATGCTGTGTGAAATATCAGCATAATCAGGAAGCTTGCCATTGATATCCCATGTAGTTTGAGTGGGAAAAATTGGATAACTACTCTTTGGATTGAAGGGTTTGATTTGAATAATCGGAAACCTCCCAGATCCATTATTGAACGTAGTTCAATATCTCAGAGCAGGTGTATGAGCTGAATATGTTGAACAAGGGGGATGAAAAAAAATAGAAAAACATTCTGTTAATGAAACACAATACTAACCTGATGAGGTGATGAAAAATAACATGAAGAAGTTTGAAACAGATAACTAGAGAAAATGGTAGTTGATCTAAGAGAGTAGTCAATGGTAAAGATAAGACGATATAGAGAGATACACTGACATTACCATAAAGAGAAAACGAGAGAGAGGGGGAGACAGAGAGAGAGAATCCAAAATATAAATTGAAAATGAGGAAAACGTTGGCAAGAGAAAAGGAAATGCTGATTTCCGGCTGAAGAAAAAACGGAATAAACGAAAAATTCAAATTATATTGTGCTTTGTAATAAATCTGAGACTATGATTATCTTATCTGTGAAAATTGATTATTTGTTCAACAGTTGTATGGCAATCGAAAAATAGCTTCCAAGTTTGAAATGAAAAAAAAAGTAAAAAAACAAAAGAAGAAAGAGTATGAGAAGCGAGAGGAATTTATTTTTTTTATAAAGAAGCTTATTCGGATTTGACAAGTAAGAAGATGCGAACATGTTCACAACAAAATGATGAAAAGGAAAATTCTTTTCAATATGATTGAATAACTTGATATCTTGATTGTAGATCAAACACTTCTTGTCTCGACTAACTAACCAGTTCTTCGTAATGACCTAATGGTTGG